GCAGTTCTTTACAATGAGAGGAGAAGAGGACAAGGAGCCAGGCCTAAACTAGAATTCTTACCTTGACCTCTGCCTCGGAGAAAACATCAGCGTGCCGGTAGATTGTGAAACAAAGGCGGTGGGCATTATCAATTTGTAAATCAAATGTCTGCAACGGAAAAATGGAGCGAAAGATTATCCTAGGTGGCGCAACGCAGTAGCTGGCGTCGAACTAAGAAGAAACGTATCTAAAAAGACAACCAGAACCTGTGTAGTATTGTAGTATTTTCTTCTCTGAGGTACAGTTCCATCTGGTTTTTACGAACAGTATTATACGGTTCCAGGTCCACATGTGTGCACTTTGGTTTTGAGTATAGGGGGGACGAGATGGCTCAGTGGTTACAGCTCGAATGTACTGACCGGTAGGTCCATAGTTCGAACCCGACTTCTGTCTCTCGATTTCCCCTATCTAAACTTGGGCAACCTGGCAGTATACCAGCCGTCTTCGGGTGGAATACCAATCAAGCGATTAGTGTTTTGCGGACAGTTGAGCGAACCACTGAGGCGCAGCACTGCTGAGAAGGGTTTGTGAAACATCTCAGAGATGATCTAATGACCTCGGGTAATGGTGCTTACATACTTCAACTCTGTGGTGCAGATAAATGAGATTTCAAGAGGAACAAAACTTTCAACATTCAGATATCGTTATTGTACCTCTACACCTCAGGTCTCCTGGGCATAAACATACAGTCAACCTCTCGTATACGACTACAACGCACATTTTCGTGTTGTGATGTTTTTCTTGAACGTTTCAGTGAAATGTCGATACTATCCATATCTGTCCTATAGGAACAATGGTCGGGAACTATCAGCCTCTAACTAAATGTCAAACGTCAGCTTTTATTGGATCGTGTTTTCTGGCCAAGATAACAAACTTTGACGTGGTATTGGAGTTTGAATTTCTAAGAAGCGGGTTACCAAACTCCAAAAGGAGTGAAGACACCTCAAGGAGCTAGAAATTCAGATTCTCAAAAGATTGCTTGACTCCGTAATTTTTAATATCCATTTGAAAGGTTCTAGTAATCCCTCTTTTCACTCACAACCGTTCACAAATCTTCAGTCCGACAAAGTGTACTATGTTTGATGTGTCAAGTATAACGTAAAGCGAATAAGATCCATCGCGCAATCAGCGTCGGACAACAAATGACCCACTTTATCCAGTTTCTAGGATGGATTCGCGTTACCAGTCCTGTGGTTCCTATACAGGAATCACGTGAGATGATGATAAAGTGATGGAGGAAGTCACCAGTGCTAGAGATTTTCCTGCGAACGGTTGAAAGTAATGTAGGAAGTGCATCTTAACAGGTAACACATTCGACTAAATTCCATCCCAATTTTCAAATTGATAAACAAACTAGGTAGTAGAGCAGTTGAGTGGCCGTTCCACTTCGTCGATCGTCAAAAAACGACTAATGTAACACTCGTATAGATGTGAGATTCAGTTGCAATTCAGATGAGTCTCCAGTCAATATAAGGTCGATTTAGAACTGAGTGCATATCACCACATAGGCTGGCGTTCAATCACATGACAAGCCCAATGGAAATTCCAGGAGCAGATCGACTTGAAGAGCCCCAAGATGTGACAATGAGTTGACCTTCTGAGGTCATTTGACAGAGCATCTGTTCCTTTGGATAAATGAATAGAATGGTTTGTCGTCAATTCATTGAGTTTTCGCCGCTTCCAGCAGCAACAAACCAGGAAAACTGTGGCCAAAAACGTGCGACGTCGTTCTGTCCACCATGATAATGGTCACACTAACAACTGAAGCTTTGGAATCTGGGCACGTCTACCACAGCGAGGTCAGAAACGATTTTGGTTTATTGTATCTCAATCAGTTATGTTGAATAACTATTCACATTCAAGGAAGCTCAAAGTAAGCCTGAATTATCTGCCAAGGGCTGTGCCGGGAGCAATATCGAAGAAGTTTTGAAAAAAGCTCACCTCATTCCATTGCGGATTGGACTGATGCGCAACCACGTGAGTGCGAGCAACCTCTTCGAATTGTGCGAATGAATCGACTTCAATACAGACGTGATAACCTTTCGAAGCAAGTAAGATATAGTTAGGATTAGGGGACACGTACAACCAACACTTTGAAAGATGCGTGACCATATTGACAAACAAGATCTCTTCCTGTATTCTGAAAATTTGCCAAGCACTATACAGCTGTTTCGGATTTATTTGAAACCATCGTTAGCACTGCGTAGGAAGTTTCCAAGCCACTTTATGTCCCGCCTAAGTGTGAGCTAACCAGCCGTTCGTGGCCGTACTGTTTAAACTACTGGCAGGGGGTCGCAGAATGAAGGTTACCTACATTTTCTTGTGGGGCGCACTGATGATAATCTCTATAAGGATGAAACTGCAGTGCTCTTTGACTTTTCAGCAGAGACTGGGCTCACTTACAGGACAAGATCTCAACTGACGGTTCCAAAATCTCTTCACACTGCTAAGATTTGTATGCGTTTCTGAGTGAAAATACGACAGAATCGCAACGTGAAAAGTGTGACTTTGTTGTGAATGGTAGAAGCTGAACATCCCGGCAAATTGCTTCAGAGGACAGCGCCGCATTTTGTTACCAATGCAGTTCGTAAGTGCCTTTGGGTAAATTTACCGACTAACTGTGGTTACTCAAATTTGGGGTGAGTAGGCAGTTTGTAGTGCACTTCGAACTTCAGCCGTTTTTGTGGCACATTGCGTATTCGTGGCACATGAAAGTGACTCATGAAACTTACTGTCTAACTCGTCCAAGCCCTTGATACCATGTACCGTGGTTCGTAGTATTCCTGTTCTCCCAGGGGCTTCTGGAAAACACGAATATGACAATGAGGCGTGCAATAGGATTTAGTCTGGAAACATCACAAATGAGGGATTCAGCTGGGTTCCAGGTGAGTCTCTCGCAAAATCAAATTTGTTTGCAAATGAGAGTATTTTCGCTAATTTCGTGCAATTTTGTCTCAAGTAGAACATAAGGCTGACGGAAATTCGGGGACTGCGCCTAACTGATGAGCCCGAAATGGAAGAGCGAAACCGGTCGTGGGCTGTCGACGAATTTTCAGCAATCCTATGAGTAGTGCATTACGAATATACATGTACCACGATATCTCGAATATCGCAGCAACTGAAACATGAGGTGGCCTGGTGCAGCACATTCAGTTGCCCGGAAACATCACAAACGAGAGATTTGGCTGTGTTCCAGGTGAGTCTCTCGCAAAACTAAATTTGTTTTCAAATGAGTGTATTTTGTTAGGATTTAGCTTCTTATGTGATTAGGTCCTTGTTGCTTTCAGCCAGTTGCTGATAACCACACTGGTAGCTAGTCTTGATCAGCTCTGGCGAGGTGCACTGACGAGTATAAGCACATATGACATGATGTCGCATCAATAGAACTTACCTTCCAACAGCGCCATTCCGGTTTTGTTCAGTCTGACTATCTGGATGGATCGTTCCAGTAGGTTATTTTTATCGTAGATGAAAGGGATGTGGTTTAATGAAGAACAAAAGAAAACATTCAATAACTAATTTGAAGAGTTCTTGTCATACACGACAATGAAATGTACTTCAGTAGGACTGTTTCAAACTTCCTGACCATTCAGCCGTTACTTTAAAGTTCTACAAGATATGACTGGTTGTTTTATGAAACAGTAAGCAGTCATTAGACTACAGCATTCTTCGTGTATACTACCGCAATCGTAAAAAAGCTATTTGCACTGGGAATGTTGATGACTTCGCCAAATTTCAGTCCGATTGACGAAAATGAAACACTGCCGTCAGCTTAAAAGGGAGTCCTTGATGATGTTGTGGTGCCTGGCCGGAGCCTTACCACGATAGCGCTGCCTTTCCAAGAGTCTCCCTGAGCCTCCCCACCCTGGCAGTCATCTCGCCACGCGCCATTGGTTTTCAGCAAAGGGCTAAGGGGTTACTTAGTCTTGCTTTTGTCACTCTGAAGCAGAGTGAATTCAAAGCTTTCCTTTTCGTAGAAGATTCATTCACCCGTCTACAAACACTACTCTTAACGGGAGATCCACCTGAATCTCTCTCCTTATTCAACTGAATGTGTTGTACAAAGACCGTCTTAGGTCTTAGTTGAGAGAATAGAAATGCACAACGGTGGTTTCCCGGTGAGGGAGATTTTGTTGGGTATTTCCGTCCATCTCGCATCAAAACATGCTACCAAACTGCTGATGAGAATGTGGGTAGGACTCATTACCACCCTTTTTTTAAAGTGGCTTAGGTTCCTAATTCAGGGCAACCTGTAGACGGTTTTGGCTCCCCACCGGATGGAGAGTGGGATAACAAATTGACAGTCCCAGAAGCTTCTTGAGACAATATAAAAGCTAGTGGAAGACGGAAAGCACAACAACCTCGGATTCCCGCCTACCTCTATCCACATCTAGCGTCTGTATCTAGAAATTAGTCTTAGTGAGCTGGGGAGGTGCAGAAAGCCAGTCTTTAACTGATTTTTTGAGGAGGATTCGTCCTGTAAGTGAAGCCACTCTATGCTGAAAAGCCAGGAAGCACTGTAAAGCTGTTTCATCCTTATTGGGAATCACCAGCAGTGCGCATCTCATGAAACTCCGAAGGGTCCCGAACCCATGACTTCCTGGTTAGTAATTCGAACACTTAACCGTTCGGCCATGAGTAGCTGATTAGTAATGTGATTAACTCGCACTTAGACAGGATATAGCGCCGTTTATTCTTTCTCTCCTCACACTACCAGCAATCTGTAAGTAGCTCAGTGGGAGAATAAACTTCACCCGATGAGTGAAACTTCCATCTGAGAAGTCGTTGCTCGAGGAGCCAGACAGCACGTGATTTGGATCCCGTGACTGAGGGATGAGTAGCGCTATATCCTGTCTAAGTGCAAGCTCTCACGCTGCCTGGTCAGTCGCTCGTGGCCGAACGGTCAAGTGTTCAAACTACTACCCGGGAACTCGCGGGTTCCAGACTCTCCGGAGTTTCGTGAGATGCGCACTGCTGGTGATTCTCAATAGGGATGAAACAGCTGTACAGCATAGAGTGGCTTCACTTATGGAACGAAATCTCCTCACAAAAACCAAAACATCCTCGCAATACCAATAAAACAGGTTTTTTTCCTTGTAGGCATCATACCACTGGTACTTTCATGTCTGGTTCATGGAAATGGAAGTTGTTTCGATGGTAACGTTTCGTCGCTGAATCCAGGTTTCACGCGGTTCACTTCGAGACTTTGAATGTAAGTCAACACTTGTCCACTCACCTCTTTTTTCATGTATGTCAGAGACGTCGCTTAGTTCGCAGGCTTCTCCGGCAATACATTGTGTTCCTTTGAATTTTTTCATCCCATTTGGGCTAGAAGTGCTCTCAGCTTGCGAGATCAGCAAATTGACGTTGTTGGAAGTAAGGCACACAGTAAGTGTACAAGACAACGCAGTGGTTTCTACTTCACGTTTTGTCTTGTGAGGCTAGCTAACCAAGATCCCATGAAGCATACTAACACAGCCCATTTACAGGTGTGTGGGAATCAGCTGATTTTTTCCACGTACCTACCAGTTCCGTCATGTCGGCAGTTAGCCGCGCCATGGAGTTGTTCTGTAATGTTTCAGCATGATTTAAACAAAGTAATGTTCTACTAAAGTGATGGACAAGTCGGAGTTACGATTAACAACGCAGGTTGTCGCACAGTAGGGTTCACCTAATGATAATTCAGTAACTTTCTCAGCTAGATATCGATTGTCTACTCTGACTTTGACGAATGTTTGCTCAAAACTAAGCTTCTCCTGTTGATGGCAAGTACAATTATGCAAAAATAGGATGTGTACAGCCTTGGGTAAATCAAAGAATGATTCTAGTTCTGCAAACATCTCGGATACAAGTAGTTTTGTTAGATCGAAACAAAATTATCACCTACTGCATGAGTTGAGAGGTCACATCTAGGACAAAACGTTTGCTCGAGACAGAATTTTTTTTCCCGATTACTTATAAAAAGGAACTACCTGCTTGAAATACTAGCACAAGTCGCGGTTTTCATCAGTTCGAGTTTTTTCGCACTCATTCCTCTTAGTTGGGCAGCTAACCTTTGGCAACAACGAGAACAACTTTTATCAACCTGGCAGCAAACGATGAACTGAGAGATGTTAACATTTTACACGGAAAAGGATGAAGTATAATGAACCAACTCTGCCTACTCACTTTAAAGACCATGAAAATTCTGATTTCAACGAGGTTTATGTATCATTTCAGTTGTAGCTAGTTCGCTGTTGTTCTTTGCTGCGGCACACACGGCTCTTTCGCACGAACGAGGAAGTTCATCATAGCCACACAACTTGTATCAACAGGTAAAACAACATTTTATTGGACAATTTTCTAATCGCCTCTGGTATTTCAAACAGACTTTTGGACCTATTGAGCTGATGACATCTCTTTTTAAAGGATTTTAACTCAAAGTTAATTTCTGCATTTATTTAGATAGTGTACGGAAGCCAGCCGACCCTAATAACCGAACACCACACCAGTTGGACGGATGGTCACGTGCAGGACACGTGCCTTACGAAGACGTACGCTGATTGGTCAGAATGCTAGCCAATCCGAAAGCTCTGAGATGGGCTGACAGTTGCAAAATACTTGTCATTGGTAGAATCTCGATTAATTCAACACGTAAGAACGGAGAGATCCTTGGGTAGACTTGAAGTAAACTGGATGCTTCATTTCAGAAAATTTTTGTCGATGCATTTGGTCGTAAGTAATTTTTTGTTTTTGACACAAAGGCATTGTTTACTTGGTTGACTGAGCCGCTCCACAAGGTCGCATCTGAATAATAAACTAAATTATTGTTGTATAGACTGCTCAAAGGTTGCTGAAAACCCTTCGAGAGCCTGTGACCGGTTTCCACCTTCTTGGGGCTCAGCAGTTCGACGGAAATTCAAGGCCTGTGCCTACTTGATGAGTCCCAAGAAGAGTCAAACCGGTCGTGGGCTCTTGAAGAGTCTTCAGCAACCTTGTGAGTATTACCTCTGTACATGTATCGCGACATCTCAAAAATCGTGCCAGCTGAAGTATGAGGTGGCCTGATGCAACACATTCATTTGCCTTGAAACATCATTGAAGAGAGATTCGGCAGGGTTCCAGGTAATTTTCGAGTCAAAACCCTATTGATTTGCAAGTGAGTGTAATTGCATGGATATTGTTGCTTAGCTCCTAATCCACCCAACGGGTCGGTCGGATTTGGGTTCTTGAAATGCCTGTTTAGTGCACTTCATTTGATGGTTCTCTCTGAGTGGCCTTCATGGTTCCTGTTGTTGGTCTGTGTAGGTAAGCAAGTGATGAGGCAACATTGTCTGGATGTTAGTTGGAAGGAATCTTGGGGTCTGGTTATCTGTCTGCCCTAAAAATCGGTGAAGCTGATTGGGCTGATGGAGCTTCTGCCTCGAAATCGGAACGCGGATTGTTTGACAAACTTTTCTGATACTAGGATTTCTCGGTTTGGTTGACATCCACCAGTGCTAGACCGCTTTCAATCTCTCTCTACTCGTCTGTATTGAGCAAAACTTCAGCATGATCGAATTAGCTTGGTTGTCTCACAGTTCAGTGGAAGGGAATAGCTAATGTGTAATCCAGGTGAGAGATTTTGTCTTCCATGCAATTTTTTGGGAGTTAGGCTCTCGGTGTTTAGGTTTTAACCTAAAAACTCCGTTTGGACAAAACACATATGTGCATCTCAAGAACTATATACATTTGGATTACGAACTTACATAGTGATATTTTTTCAAGACCTCATTCATTTCCGCTGCAGTCGTTCGAAGACTGCTGTTGGGTTCATTCACAGGCACCTGAGTTGTTGTTGCTGTTGATACGCCCGGTTGCGGAGAGGACCGAAGTTGACCCCTCTTATTCCATCCGTCTGTAGCTAGTGTCAGACTCTTGATACACTCTTCGCGGCTTTTCACTTGATTGACTTCTTGCTGCAAAGCCATACGCCAATGATTTCTCTCACGCTCGGTCATGAGAAGGATGTAGTGGGTCTGACCGTTGCTATCCACCAACGGCAGTACCAGCTGGGGTGACTGAAGAACCAGTTCTCCTTCCTGAATGAAATCGATTAGTAAGCAAGTCTATTTATGTTACCAGGGAATGAGAATCACTAGAAACTTGTTCCTACTCTATCATAAAGGAAACTACTCACGAGGTTGCTGAAAACTCTTTGACTACTCTTCGACAACAACTCTTTATCCCTTTATCCAAAAATATACTGCGATATCTCGAATATCGTGTCAACTGAATCTCATGAGGCGGCCTGTGTGCAGCACATTCGGTTGTAGAATATCATAAACGAGAGATTCAGTTGAGTCTCTCGTGAAAACCAAATTGATTTGCAAATGAGTGTATTTCTCGAAGCCCCTGTTCTTTTTGCCTAGTTGATAGTAGTATATACCTGAAGAGACGGACCGACATACAACAGATGTACGGTGCAACAGTTCATTTCCGCGTGCTCTCTTCAAGCTTGCAGCGCAAAGACCGTAGCTCACGTAGGTGTGAGATCCACAATGAAAAGTGAAGTGCTGAGTTTCTTTGAAGATGACAACCAGAACTGTGCAAACAGAGGAGATCGGCCAACCGTTGAGACTGCCTATTGGGACTGGCCTGTTTTAAACACCTGACTGAATAAACTTCTTACTCTGCTCCATTTATGTGGTATTTTTCTGTAGTTCACTCGTGACGAGTGATAGCAAACAAAGCCGGGTTCATTCTTCCGAGTCGTCATCAAGTTCGAAGCGGGAAATTTGTGTTTCGAGTTCAGATTATTATAAGTTACCACAAAAGGTTACTTTTCAGAACACAAAACCACAAACTCATCGCAGATGCAGGAGAATACCTAACAGCTGCACAAAGATTTTAAAATGATATGGTAATACCGTTTCCAGGAAGTGACTATATCCCGAGCTGACAAGAAAATTGGTCCCCTGATCAGGAGTGTCAGGTAAGGACTCGACAATCCTCAGAGCGCTTCCAGAATACGAAACTAATGCTCACATCCAAATCCCCCTACACTTAAAAGGACGCTCCGACGATCTGAATGCTAAGCAGCAGTTATTCCTAAAAATACCAGGATAGGTTAGACAGAAACAAGCAATCCAACAAGGGTGAACATGTGCATCTTAAGATACAGGTTTAAAGGAGTATACTACTGGTGAAGCATGCGAGTAGTCTACGGTGTCTAGCATCCGAGCTCTGCCCCCCCCCCCGCTTTTGGTGGAAGGTGAGGGTTTCTAAGAAAATTAGAGAGCCGCTTTGAAGTGCTCGTTCATTACCGTTCACTATTTAATGAACGTCTTAGAAAGTTCAAGAGGACGATTGATAATGTTCACTTTTCAAAAACTCGGAGCACATGAAATGTTCACTTTCGTGTCTAGTGGCTTGTAACCGCTTAGTTCGTAACGAAAGGCGTTCCTCTTTTCACAGGTAACACCCTAAGTCTGACAACAAGAAAGAACGCTGGCAACCATCTGAGGTAATAGTGCTGGGGGACACACGGTTTCAGCCGACAGCGATGGCCGGCCACTAACAAACTCTTGATTAGGCTTACATGGAATGAGCGAGAAGGCAATATGTTTCAGAACTCAAGGAAGCATTCTCGGAATCACCCGTTATTTTCTTTTAACTCATTTTGTAATTCCATGGCAGCTTTCGATATGGAAAACCAATAAAAAAGTATGCTCGCATAGGTTGAAAAACGCAGATGCATGTCAGTTGTGGACACAATGAGCAGAAAAGTATGAGTGGAATAGCCCCTTATAGAACATCTGTTTAGATTGATCAGGTTAGAAAATTTGTCAGGTAGGTGAATGCTTAGTTGGTCTGTTGACATAAATACTGTTAAGCAGACGGATTGCCGATTTTATTCGATGCGTGAACTACTTAACTTCTCGGCGTTACCAACTCTCGATCGCTGTTTTCTATAACCGGAGAAGAAAACCTGTTGGATTTGAGGGCATGGTTTCAACGGCCCTGTGGATACACTATACTATACTGTACTATATACTTTATACTACACTATACTATGGGAGTGATGTTATGGACAACCTAGAAATCTGTGGAAGAGAACACTGTTCTCAGTTAGCGGATGTAACCGAATGAGTAGTGCTCAGGCCTACTGTGATGTTCGTAACTTTCGCGATGTGAATAGACAGCATTTAAATCAGTCACTCAGAAGCGACTAAATCTTGATGCGTGATAGGTCTGCCTTTCATATACTGCGTGGTGCCAACCCCCACCTTTAGCAATGTGTCTAAATACCGGTGTAACGGTGATACTACTGATGGGGAGAGTATGTGTTAATTTCGCTTTGCGTCTTCTGAAAAGGGGAGATCTGTTGCGGAATTCGCGGAGTCACTTTGTAACATTTGCTTGAATTTGACCGACGAATGAGTGGAGTCAACTACTCTCCAGAACAGTTCAAGAAGACGCGTTTAGGAGAAGATAGGTGTCCAGTTTTTGTGATCAAGGTGTAAATTAGAGTTTTGCTTCCCTGTAACCGGTCAGTTGGCAGTTCCTAATAAATAACACCGCAGCGAAGGTGTTCTTCCTTTCACTGGTAGCTGGGATAGGTTAAACGGATGTTGATCAGGTGGAAGCTGATCTGTTCTCCGATCCTAACAACCGGCTTGCAAACGTTTGGTCAGTATGCGAAGAAACACTGTCACTGCTCAGACCGCACAGAGAACTGTAACCAAGCCCTGACAACATCTCCTTGCATGGTGACAAAAGGTCAGCTGGGTGGTGAACAGGTCAGCTGCCGCCTGAGTAACGGTCAATCAACCCAACCGGGTTCCCAGTAATTAGGCACAGCCAACTCAAGAATCAACTGCGATGCTTTCAGAGAAGAGCCTCGTAAGGATTCGCTTTATCGATTCTAACGTCCAGACCACGTTCATCAACAACTGTCTGAACTTTTTCATTCATTGAAGTCCAGAAGGGTACTAATTGCGCCCGTACAAATGCGTTGTCTATGAAATATCATCACGTCTCCGAGTGGTTTGGAAAGCTCTTCAACACGCAACCGAAAGTACAAAATACTCACTGTCTGCCTCAACGATCGAACGAGCTTGTGTTGATCCCGCTTCTTGCTCTAAAGAAAAGAAAAAAACAGATAAGTTTCAGGGGAGGAAACATTGTAAATCGTCTTCAGACAGTCTTAAGAGGATTTTCTGCAGACAGTGGCACCATATTAATGCTTGATTTATACAATCATTTGTAAAATAATTTGGCTCTCCGAAAAACTCACCTGGAACCCAGCTGAATCTCTCGTTTATGATGTTCTCAGGCAACTGAATGTGCTGCACCAGGCCACCTCATGTTTCAATCGCTGCGATATTTGAGATATCGCGACACATGTATATTTGTAATGCACTACTCATAAGGTTGTATGAAATAGGATTTAGCCTGGAAACATCACAAACGAGAGATTGAGCTGGGTTCCAGGTGAGTCTCTGGAAAAACCAAATTAGTTTGCAAATGAGTGTATATTCGCTAATTTCGTGCAATTTGGTTTCAAGCAGAACGTAAGGTTGACGCAAACTCGGAGGCTGCGCCTACTTGATGAGCCCCAAGAAGGGCGAAACCGGTCGTGGGCTGTCGACGATTTTTCAGCAACCTTATGAGTAGTGTTTGATTTAATTCATTTTCATGTGACTGGAATTCAAGCGGTATTGTTGTTCACCGGATTGTTTCATTGAACAGCTTGACAGCTTGCGTTGGTTCTTCCCTACTGGTTAGAAAAGTTAAGTGTACCACCTTTTTCTACTATTTTATTCTGACGTAAAGTTTCAACCAACAAGAATAGCTTTTGTCTGACAAGCGCTCGTAAAAGGGTTAAAAATTGAAGAAATTTTGAAGCAACCAAGAAGCTTTTGTCACAACCTCTGTCTAAGAAACCGAAAACCCAAGAATCAAGTCTCTCTTTTGCCCGATTGCTGGTTTAGTTTATGGTTGGAAGTAACAGAGTAATAACCTAGGCTTGACTATAAGTTGAAAGGTTTTATCGACACGGCTATTTTACTACATTGGAACTAAGTTGACTTGCCTAAGGATTGCTCATTCCTTAAAGCAAGCCATACCTACTATTCAGAAAAAAGTTGATCAATTGCGATTTCGGGCTGTCACTGAAGTCCATCCGTGCTGAAAAGCCGAAAAGAACTGGGTGTCCTTATTGGGAATCATCAGCAGTGCATAGCCTACCTGAACACCTAATTTGCGACCTTCTGGCCAGTGGTTGAATAGTAAGCGTTCGGTTCCGAGCGGCTGAATGGCATTTTGATTGGCTCTTCCTTAATCGAACTATAATGTAACCTAAATTAACGCACGATAACCCAACTCTCATCTGTTATCCAATAGTTACCCTGTCATAAAACACATATCCACAGTGAATTATCCTGCTCATTATTTTAAGTAGTATATAAATCAGTAGTATGTAAAGACTAGGCTGACGGCGGTTCACTGTTTTATGCTAACCCCCGGAGTTCTCAAATTTGTGAACCGTCCACTTCAGGCAAAACAAACGTCCCATCTTCCACCCACGGGATTTGTCAGGTAAACGCAGCTACACATTTGGCACTTATATATGCAGTTCACACTAGTCGCCTCTTTAATGAGCGAGCAGCCATTATGGGAACGTGGTCCTCTGCGAGGATGGCGGCAGTGTCTCATGGACGCTGCACCCAGTCAGGACAAACGAATGCCACATTTACACCTACGGTGACCAAACTCGAAGACACCATGGTGTTTTAAACGAGCTAAGCACTACAAGCCACATGAACCATGTCTGAAGAGAAAAACACGGAGGGTGAAATCCGGTAGATACCTCGTCCAGACGCTTCATACTATTCCGCATTTTGGAAATGTTCGACTTGAGATTTTCGATAGCTCGTTCGTGAATCGCGATTTTGTTCGGGTCTGTAAAAAAAGAATATTCAAGAACAAGTGCGTTATGAAGAGGGTAGGAGAATCTTGCAATTTATTCGTCATCAGTTACTGCGTTTGAACTGGGGATCTGTCGTACAAAGTTGTGGAGCGACGATCGTGGTAGATCACAAGATTGACTTTTTTCAACTTTTCAACAAAAGGTTGTTTAGTTTGGGACCCAGTTTCATAAATAACATTTTTTTCTCAGAATTTTTTCCAAGGTTCAAACTTGTCTTTCAAAATCGATAATCTATTTGTATCGACAAGGAAGAAATCAAGTTCATTTGATTCTGTAGGAAAGAAAAACACTCAGCAACGAGGCGTTTAAACGGCAGTTTAGCGAAGTTGCTAGTCCGCGGCCCTGCTTAATTCTCTAGAATACTCGGCCTACTGTGGAAGATGAAGAGATTTCACAGAATTTTCAGAGGTGAGGCTATTTAATATATAATCCGAACACATGAGGCCACCGTCGGTTAGCGTCTGCATTGTCTCACTTAGCGGATCACTCCGCTTGTGGGCCAAAGAGACTTGGTTTGATTTCGACGTTAGAGCACCAAGAAAAGGAAGCATCTTTCGATACACTTATCTGCATACCAATTTGGTTCCAACAAAAAAATCACCTAAAACCCAGCCGAATCCCTCTTTTATGATGTTTTCAAGGTTGACGGGGACTGGGCCTACTTGGTGAGCAGCGAGAAGAGCAAAACTGGTCGTGGACTGTTGAAGAATTCTCAGCAACTTCTTGAATAGTGTATTACATTTTTCGATATCCTTTTTACGTTTCATGTAAACCAGTGATCACTTCTCGGTGCGATCATTGCATTACTGATTTGATGCCAAAAGTACCATCCAGCTGCAGCCGTCTAGACAATTTCAAAAAGGGGATTAAAACCATCTCTCGTCGACAGGAAGTAGGGCGTTCAGGCTGTTCACCAGGGTCTGATGAAGAGGAATCTGCGAGACCGATGGGTATGACGTCCACCACATGCAAGTCGATGGCGCGGTTACAGTAATTGGACCTGAGTGGGGAGGAGTTGGTGGGCTTATGTCCTTCTGAGAGACGGCTTCTATTTTGGCATAACAGCAGTCTCGTCAGCCAGAAGACATGTCAGAGGAAAAAGCCCCGTTCCGTTCCTCTCCTTCAGCAAGTTACCAGTCATTTGCAGGATCTAAGTTACCCAGAGCATCCAAAGACATTTAACACACGAATGGGAGCCATGAAAATTTCGATGGGACTTCAGTTCTCGTCCAACAGCAGCCTAAATAACAGTGTTCCTTCAGTGGTTCTAATCGGTGAAAATTCTTATATTCATGTAAGTCTAAAATGATATTTTCTGGTGCTCTTCAAGATCGAAAAAATTCCGAGAAAACGATCAATTTTGTAGTTTCATTGCCGGACTTGGTTCAATGTATCGCGCATCACTTTGGTGATACTACGACCCCTCAATGTGCTGTGTAACTCAGTCGTTTTCATCTAGACAGTAGTACACTGTGGACTTTGTGACATACAGAACACAACTACTAATTACTGGTCAGTAGTAAGATTATTTTGGATTTGGACAAAATTTCTGACTATATTCAGTTCATTTTTTCGTCCTGCCAAGGTTGAAAGTGACCATGAAACTTCTAGGCGACCGACAATCCCAGTGACTTTTGTTTCGTGTTAAGTAACTCCACACGTTTCCACAGAAAGAAAACTAACGAGAAGGAGGTAAGCGGAAATCTTGGATCAAATACTCACCACTGACAACACGTGTATTATGCGAAAGCTTCAGCTGATCCAAAGGTATCATCCATTTGGTCTCCAGACGGGCATTTGGCTCGTCCATATTCCAAACATTTCTACCCGTGGGTAGTGGTCGGACAATCGTGTTGGAGCGAAAATGACGGTTGCGTTCTGAGGCACGCATTCCTCGAAACATGTCAGTCAGGCCTGTTTTGTGCTTCGAACTGACATTAGCAAAATGGACAAATAGGAAGATGATACAACGGCTTGGCGAGGATGAGAAATATCTTGCGGTTGATGACGAATCAGTTCAAATGTTGTCGGGATGATTGAATAAACTCTGTTCTCTTCACTAATCGATTAATTCTAGTGAAAGAAACTCAAGCAATCTAGAAATCTCCCTCACTGGTGCACAGATGTCTGGTGAGTTACCGTTCTAAGTTATTTCTGTTTGTGTTCATCTGTTGCTTCTGCTCATATCGCGTTTGAAGACGGGTGTGGCCAGAGACTGACCCAAAAGACTGACTGGTTCTACTCGCTGGTTCACTGTCCGAACTGTCAGGTCCGTGTTTTTTTGTTTGCTAAACAGCCGATAAATGCTTCTCCGTTCCGCCTCCTGATAGTAAGCGTTGCTGATAGTTTGGCAGCCGTTTATCGAATGTTCTCAATTGGAGTGAAGTTGGCAAAAATATCTAAGTTGGTTCGTCGAGGATCGGTAGTCAGAAACCTGTACAAGACACAAACTGATTGACATAGTCTCCCAATAACCTCCCAGTAACAAGCACCTGAGAAATGGAATTACCTTTGTGCGTGAAGTTAAGTTACTTGAAGAGGCCAAGAAATGTTTTGCGGTGACTTTACTTATGTTGGAAAACATCACGACTCTCTGAAATATATTCAGATCCAAAACAATATGACTATACGTTTGAACCTCTATCCAGTAAGCTGTGGATGTTTGGACAGTGGTGCAACTCGCCTGAACTTGGGTAGTGCATGGTCTGACACTCTGTTCAACCGCGCGGTTCAGATTAGCTAGCCTGACGTTGGTTGGTTGTTCGAACAATCAATTCTCACGGGGAGATCTGTGTACTCTTCAGCACAGAGAGGAAGATCCAGACTCGAGAACATGATTCTCCGGATACTTTCGAAATTCCAAAAAATCGTTCAACTCTAGCACCCTGTCGATGCGTAACTGTCATATCTACCCGAAGGAAACATGAGGGCTCGGATACTGAAAGGTTGCCCAAGTATAGACAGGGGAAGTCGAGAGGCAGAGGTCGAGTTCACACCACGGACCTGCCGGTCAGTAAATTTGCGCTCTAACCACTGAGCGATCTCGGAATACACCAATCTACTCAGAAAGGAAAACCTCTAACAAGTCATATTAGACTTCATCGTTGGATCAACCAACCAACATTATATCCCTTAATGTGAACAGCATAATGAAAAGATGAGTAGTGCCGTAATCTCCCCAGGTTCAGAGTATTCTCGAATCGATTTATGAGAACCATACTGTCGGTAGTTCGCTACGAGCAAGAAACAACTTCATGGTTAAATTTCGAGTAAATTCTGTCTTCGCTGGTTCAGCNTTTCGAGTAAACTCTGTCTTTGCTGGTTCAGCAGCCCACCCCACCCCCCACAATTTCCAAAACGCCAACGGCAATTTTGGAGGACCCATTTGGAAGTCATACATAATCAATTTGGACACCTCTTTTTCATAAAGCTTTACTCAGCAGCCATTCAAACGTCATTTTGATCAATAAACATGATTTAAAGTTATGAAATTTTCTACATTGAGTGCTATTCAGTCCTAATCGGGTGATTTTCTCAAGCAAACTGCTGTGGGCCAAGGGGTCAACAATAACCCGTTCAATGCGCATATACCGCAAACAATCCGACCAGAAGTCGTGACCAGCAAACTCTAACCACCCAGCGTACTGCGTATCACACATGGTTCAATACAGTCAGTAACACCGCCAGATCTCAAAGGCAACTGCATTTCGAGGAAGTGGGTGACTACCGTAGTCCAAGAAGAAATCACTCGGTTTCGTCTGCCGACCCAAAGTGTGCAGGTTCAAATTTCCCTGAAGTGTTCAGCGCTGATTCCCTCGCGGCCAAGAATGAAGCAGCTGCAGTACTAATCGGCTTTTCAGCACAAATCAATGTGGCTTGCAGGATGAGATCCCCAATGGGAATCTTAGAATCTCTCCCATACACCAATGGATGTTGGCCTGCTTATTAGGGATACCGTTTTGGGATTAAGCCATACATACCGATACCCAAAGGTTAGGTAAGCCTCTTGGATTTTACACTTTATATAGAGATAGCTACTAGGCAACAAGAAATGTGGGTCGGCCCCTTGAATTCTCATGGGGGTCTTTAACATCCCGTTTAATCATTTTTCGGTAAATTCCATGTATTCTGAGATGGTCTATTTTGGCAACTCAACGGTAGCTAAGTAGTATTCACCCAAATAGTTTGACAGCGTAGTCAAATCAAGTTCTAAACCTAGTTTCGAGTCAACCTTCCACTCTACTGTTCTTTCAGATGACCAACCAAAATTGTGTTCATCAATAGACTCTACTCATATGAATTACAGGTGCCTTGTGGAGCTTTATATTAAAAACTTGTGTCCCACAAGAGAGTGAACCTACAAAAGAAGTAGGTTCTGATTGATTTTTGTGACGCGTGCTCCTGGGAAGTAGACAGAAAAGATGCATCGACAGATTACCATATTCAGATGTTCTTAGAGTAAGCACCCTTGAATGCTTAATGGATGAGTCTGGAGTCATTACCAGTTCAGGCATCCTCAAAAGTGTCAAACAAGGGCAAGGGTACTGATGAGATGTGTTTAAATGAAATATCAAGGTAACTGGTAGTTCGTTAAATACAAATAACAAAAATTGCAAGAGTCGATCATGCTTTTGTTTTGACGAAGTCTAAACCTAATTCATCCTGCCTAGTTCAGTTGGACACTCCGGGATAACAATGAAACTCAAGTTTCTCTGGTCTCATTTGATGATTGGTCAACACACAAGACACGTTACCTTTTATCCTTTGTAATCTTGGCGCAGACCAGAATATCGGAGAAGAGCAGAAGATAACGCAGCTTTCGTTCATCCGATTGCCAGTGGACCAACTCCACAACGAGAGAATGCATACGCAGTTTCCGTGAGTCTTTGTGTTTCGTTGCCTGCTTGCATAAGGTAAATGGAGACTTTCACAATGCACAAAACGTCGAGTAATACGTCGTATGCAGAGTAGAAAGTGTGTGTGCGCAAGCAAGATGGATAGCAACCTAAAGTAGGGTATACGCTTGCTACACCTCACCTACTTTGGGAAACCTGCGTAGATCTCGGTCCGTGATCGGAGTGAAATTGTCACCTGGTGAGGTAATCAGAGCTGTGAAAGTGAACCTACAGACTACGATTGCGACACACTGAAGAATGGATTGTGGGCCATGAAACTTCTGAGATTATGCCTCCTCTGTTTTGATCCACAGTCGTGTTCAACTTTTGAATTTACTTATGTCATCTACTGCATAATCAATCGATCGTCGTCAGCTGATTGTAGATGCAGCTGTTGGAACGCAGCCGGTACGCAGCCATGAGGACAGTTCTGGCTCGTGTCGATTCACGACAATGTTGATCCCAAATTCTGCAGCATTTCAACAGGATGAGTTCTCAAACGACAATAAAAAACAACAGGCTTTAATTACCTTTACAATGTCACAACAAGCAAGTGTTCAACAGGGAGTACGACATGCAAGGACGTCCGGGAGTGTCGTGAATGTTATTCAACCTACATAACAGAAGAACCAACAACACCGATGGCTGATTCATCGAACAACAAACTGCAGAACGAGATCTACTCAGTGGGGCAGTAAGGCTGATGATGCATATCAGAACATAGGCCTGGCGGATTCGTCAGTCCAGGTCCTGAGCTGTCAGAAGTTCGTAAGGAACACAAAGTGCAATGTGAATGAACAGAATAAGGGAGCGACTGAGACGAACATTCTATCCGCACAACGTATCCTGTTCAGGGTCTTATTCACTTTGAGCAACGTAGGCAAACACGTGGAGTAGTTTGCCGCTGCAGGTAGCAGTCGATGTCCTTGAATTTATCGAGCCGGCACATATTTATGGTTACCTGTCAATATGGGGACTATTCAACATCTAAATCACGTGAACGCTGCGATTTATTAATAATTCGATTTCTGACAAAGACTTACCTGACCTGACAAGGTAGATTCAATGGAATCTGTGATCAGTCTTTCGTACAAAGAAGCAAATGCCCTCTGGTCCGGATTGTTTGTCGGGGTGATTTGCCACAGCTCCTATTGGGTGAAAATAATTTAGAAACACCCTGTTTCAGTCATAAAATATCAGTCAAAGACTTTGTATGGTCTATCAAGAAACCCGTTCCGGTGCTTATCACTGACGAATAACTTCCAACGCGCGAGTACTCCAACAGTTCATCTTAGACGAGCTTGCCAAGTCTTTGAAAAACTCGGACCCAAATGATTCGCTCACAAAGAGCGGCGGCGTTTGAATCGCCAGACTTTTACGGATCAAATGAAGTGGGACGCGAAAACATAGAGCGAACTACACTCGTTTGCATACCAATACTGTTTTGACGGGAGACTCACCTTAAACCTAGCTGAATCTCTTGTGTATGGTGTTTTTAGCTTCACCAGACCGCCTCGTACTTCAGTTGGTACGCTATTCGAGATATCGCAGTATATGTAGAGACGTAACACACTACTCATAAGGTTGCTGAAACTCTTCGAAGTCCCTGATTCGTTTGTCACCGCGAACTGTGTGAATAAACCACCCCGATCGATTGAAAGTGACAAAGGCGGTGTGCCGAGCCACCCATACATACGGTGTGAACCCAAACGAACAAGACACACGGTAGAACAATAGAACGTGATCCACTGAGCAACGAAATTTCCAACCTAGAAGTTCTAATCTTATTTACAGGATGTTGGAGATCGAAAGATGTTTTTAACAGATTTGCTGTTTAACATTTCAAACTGACACTTTGAAAGCCCAGAAGGAGCAGAAGAACCTCACGTTGGCTATAATTTCGAGTTTTTGGCTGACGTCCGTAACCTTTGTTTAGGTGTTTTACAAATCATAACGCGGTATTTAGATTTATAAACGAGCTAATTTCTTCAGAATCTGCTCGAATCAAAAACGCATCCGGACGACTGCGGAATTTTGTTCAGTTTCCTGCTCATTCTCTGCTTTGTACGCACAGATTATCTGTCATGGATATCTGCTATACCGTCTGTAGTGACACGTGTTCGCTCTCCACAGTCATCAGACAGTAATCGAAGTCGAGGGCGACCCAGATCACAGATATTTGTTTCGTTAGTCACTCACGGAACCCCTTACTTTCGCTGTGCACGCTGTGGACGTTGAACGCATGGCAAAAACCTTATTCACAGTAGCGCATGCAAAAAACCGTGTAATACCACTCAAGAATTGTAGATTTTCCTACCGCCTTTCATATCACGTGATGCCTACCTCTGATGACAGGCGCTAATCAATTCCTGACAAAAGTGGGATCGAACAGTCTCCACATGCCCATCTGTGCTTACGCTTTTGAGAAGCTAATTCGTAGAAAATTTCTCCACACAGGAACTATGCAATGTGCGGTTCTTACGAAAGTCCACACACACAGAAACGCGGTGCACGTACTAATGTCACACGTGACCACACTGCACACAGGATAACGATGCTCATCTCGCCAAGACTTTGGTGTTAGTATTAACAGTAAACAGTTATCAGAGGACTAAGAAAATACGACTTTGCTCCTCGTTATCTTCAAATCGATGAATTTCCATTTTTAGGCATCCGTTCAATACCCAGCAAGTGTATTTTTTCACTGAGTTAGACGGCTTGGTCACGAACGTTTTACCATCACTATAGGCAGTATCATCAATGTGCTGCCGTGTGGCGGTGTGTCGGTCGTTGCGCGCTGATCAGTAACGTACATGTATTGCAATGTGTAGAAAGGGGACCCGCCACGTAGGCGAAAGTTTGATCATCGTGAAGTAAAGTCCAGCGCAAAATGGGCAATAATTAATTACTGTTATATTCGGAGTTATCGTATTGACAATCGAACTCTAAAGGAACAATCGATCACCGAATTTTTGGCCTTTTAGTGAATGGAACACTCTGAACCTGTGTGTACGAGGAGAGAGAGCATAGTATCAAATATTGTATTACAGCACCAACCATCCAGTGAAGTACATCGAAACTGTACTTGAGAGGACCGAGATACATCGTAGCACCACACAACTGAGAGAAAAATGAAGCAACTTATCACTGCGGACTGATTAAGAGTTGCAAGATGGCTGATCGAAAGTTTCAAGAAGATACCTCACTGACAGAGCAGCAACTACTTGGAAGAGCAACTGAACAGATAGGTCTATCTAAGCTGAAAACGTATGCGAAATCCAAGCGCCTACAAAGTGAGCGCTACTGTTTTAAAAAGGACCTCAAAACAGATAAACAGCTTTGATAAAACAGAAGGGAACAGTGTGGTAGATCGGATCAATTGCTACAAGCGCAACAAGCTTAATTTTGGGTGGGCCTAAATGAAAAAAAGCCTAACCACAACATCAGAAGATATCCCCATACATGAAGACTACTTTAAAATACTTGGAAAACGTGGCTTCTTGGGGACAATACGAAAGAGACGTCCGTCTGTGACCTGGATGTTTAGAACGGGCTCGGTCAACCAGCACCAGTTTGTGCAAGAGTGGTGACTCAGTCGGAATACTTAAGTGAAACCGATCATTGGATCAACAGATCAGAAGAAAATAAACCCTACAAGGACACATTGGCCATACTGTTTACAGCGCGGACCCCAGAGAAGTCAGGGCTGGTAGGAGCACCAATCAAAGAACTGGAGATCAAACGTCATGCGGACATTGACAAATCAGAACGCGGAACTAAACAGGTAGCCAATCACGCTCAAGGTAACTTCCCTCTAGCAAACCGCCATCACCACTCAGCGCACACTAACCGACGAATAGCTACACAGACTCATGATGTCACGTCGATCGATGATGAAATGTTTTCACCCCTACTGCCCAGCTCAGCAAAAAACTACCAACATCTTTCATGAAGCGGACAGTAAACTGTTAAGAGAACAGTTTTGTATACACTGCTTTGACCCAAAGTTTTTGACGCATTTTAGCTCACCTTTACATCCTCAGCTTCTTGAACCAGCCAATTCAAGGGCTCTTGCAGCGTTTCTGTGGAGGGGGTTAAACGTAGGGGAACGAGCTGAGTAGGTTGGGAAACTTGTCGGCCGCAAACAGTCAACTACAGTACGCTAACCAGGACTAATCGAGTAGGAACTAACTTACCTATGACTTTACCCTCTGATATGTGCGTTAAGAATAGCTTGGTCGACAGAGCGTCAGGTATTTTTTCCTCACCTCATGGATTCCATTTTGAAATTGACATTGAACAATATACTATATCAAACATATTAAGGTATCATTTAAAGGATTTGGTAAGGAATTTTATGAAACAATCCTCGGTCGTTCCTCACCCATTCCTAATTTGGTCAGAATCACATCTCTGTAGGTACGTCATCTAAAAGTTGGCAGCGGCTAACCCTTCGGTTCACTGACAGACTTATCACTCTACTTTCATCTGACGAGCACCACTACTCGGATGAGTATCAACAGAGGAATAGACTGTCATTCACTGTGTTAGCTTGGCTAACCTCATTCCAATTGTGAAGTAAATACACGGAGAGCTGAGACACGGAAATTTATGGTAATTTTTATTAGCGTCCAGCTGTAGCACCCTTTCAGTGGATAACTGCCATGCCACCCGAAGGTTGCACGAGGGCTGGGATACTGCCAGGTTGCTCAAGCCTAGACACGGAAAGTCGAGAGGCTGAGGTCGGGTTCGAACCACGGACCTTCCTGTCAGTGAAGTCGCGCTCTAACCACTTTGACCATCTTGCCCCTTATGATAATTCAACAATGACTTTATTGGAATTTCGTGTATTGTTCGAAATGTTGGTCTACACTGGACGGTATTTGAATGTAAACTTACGTCTGAGGGAATTCACTGCATGATTCTTTTGTTCCTGCATAGGTGAATATTAAATTGAAAAAAATCAATTTGTGGTCAGCCACTGGTAAATTAAATGTGATATTTTTTTACAATTTTGAACCGCCTGCGTTGCCCGGTGACTCTTGAAATCGCATTTTCAGTCCACGGAAAAGATCGGTAACATAGTTAAGCACGGCTGTGAGGTTCCAACCTCATAAGTAGTAACGTTAGATTCGGCAAAATAGCAAGGAAACTTCCTCATCCTATAAACGAAACTGTGATACTAAAAAAGAATGATCTATCAGGAGAGATCGATTTCATGAAAATGACATCGGGTATAATAGAAAAATGGATTTGTAGCCAATGTAATTACAGATTTCGCTTCCAAGAAGGGTTCTGCAAACGTCTGGGCATCCGTGGCACATAAAACAGTGTGCTTTCGGTTACGCAGAATAGTATAAGTCATGTGATGCTGTGCCTTAGACGTGTGTGCTTAAAGTTAGAATCCTATGTTGTTATATATGCAAAGGAAGTTTAACCGTTTAAGGGAAAAAGCTTTACTTTGCCGATGAAAAAACCATCAGGTGCATTATCTAGCAACATGATTCGTGTACATACAGATGCCTATTAGTCACGTGACAAAGAATTTCGTTGCATTCATTACCTCTGACGTTTCAGTTATGTCTGGCCAAGCAGGAACTTGATCCAAGAAACCAGTTAGAAGATTGTGATAGATGACCAGGTATTCCTGCCTTTGGATCTGAAAGTGAACCATGTGGAAAGTACTGTGATCGACTGACTGAAAAACTAGTTTCCTTACAAACCTACCGCTAAGCAACTCGCAGAAGAGGTTGAAATAGTCCCGGTTATTGTGACACATTCCTAACTCCGGTCATTCTACTGTCAGATGCCTCCGGTATCTCATCTAGTGCATTTGTTTTACTGCATAACTAATTCGTCCGATGCCCATCAGAAATTCTTTCGTTGATTTACCGCCTAGGGTTATTAAAACACGGTCTGTGATAAGGGAGAATAAACGTTCACTGAGTTGGATTTAATTCACGCTGTTCTCTGAAAGAATAAGGGTTTCTTTGAAAAGGAGAGCAAAGGTATACCAGTCTGCTTCTTTCTTTCTTTCTTTCTTCTTTTGCCAATTCACAATAAACCACTCCTAATCAAGATACAGCAAGTTTGATTGACAATGTTTCATGAATTTTCTGTGAACCATGTCTACCTGAGTCATGAATCCGTATTTTCCTTGTCTTTCTACCTACAATTCTCAGTTCCTGAGTGTGCATTCCATTATTGACTAAATCGTTGAAAAGCGAAGTTGACACAACGGCGTTTCCAACAGGGTTCTATCTCTTGAGGAAGCGTTCCACCGTAACGAAAACTGCGGAGCATGGAAATTGTTCCTTTTATGAGAGCGAAAGTGGTTTATTACCCGGGGAGGCAAATTGTAACCACAAAAGTTCCGCTTCAGTTGTGTCTCCTGTAGAAACCAAATTCGTGCGCAGTGGTGATAGTATTTGTCTAGATCTATCCAGTTTGTGCTCAAATAGAACTCGGGACTGCGCTCAGCTGATGAGCCTCAAGAAGAGTGAAACTGGTCGTGTGCAGTCGAAGAGCCTTCAGAATCCTGATGAGTAACGTGTTACAACGGAACATAGCAGCTTTAACCTCATGGACATGTTAGATTTTTGTACATTCAGCAAGTTTCGCTCACACAAGTTCTTTTCATTCACATTTTGTCATGGCCGACGAGTGATTCAGGTGTACAATTAAGAAACTTCTTGCTTATCTCTGCCTCGTTTACGTTTTTGAAGTTAAACAGGTGATTTGCTCATGAAGTAACAGTTCCTGTTTTAAAATGCGACTGCACGGCGCATTTCAAGAGAAACCGGAATAAGAAGCATTGCTTTGGCTGGAACCGCGTCCATCAGGACTTCAGTAAAACAAGAACGTTGAACAGCTGATGTCGCCTGGCTCCTCTGACAGCGAGGTATGACCATGTTTGCTAAACCAATTTGCCACGTTACTCATGAGTAGTCTGCATTAGTTGTGAAATTTTGTGGTTGACGGCGATGCTCTAAGCTTGCTATCGAAACAACATACAACCGTGTCTGAAGTCATCAGCTCGGCGATTACAGGTGAATCTAGGTTAAGCCATATGTGTTACCTACCACAGTTCAGAGGATTGAAGAACATGTGCGAAAAAGCCACTCACCACACAGCGAAATATTTCAGCAACTTCTGTGTCCGGATTGTCAAAGGCGGGTTCCAACCGCTTAAATTTGGTGACGAATTCCTTTTGTAGATCATGCAACTTTTGTATAATATTGTAAGCCTTGTTTATCAGATCCGTATTCATTGATGATTTCAGATCACAGAATTTCTGAAGGAGAACAATCGACAATGCAGGGTAGTCATAAACAGTATTCGTATTTGAGAGGATAAACAATTGGCCTGCCACTGATAGGACACCCTGCTGATTATTACTGCAATCATAGTGGGATCAGCCTTGGTTTGAACAAATGTCTGTTCAAAAATCGTTGCTAGATCACGTGGACAGTGTGGACTTTTGAGAAGAAAAAACACAATATGAATAACGAATTCCTCAAAATCCCAAAAGACTTTCGTCAAGATTCCTCAGTCACAAGACGGTTCCCGTTGCGGTATTTACAAAAATCGAAAACTCCTTTGCTTGGGACTTTCCTTAAAGGTGTTGTAACTTGCTGAACGGTAGTGCAACTCTGAATCGCTCCCTTGGCTTCCTGCTTCGCCCGGCACGGTAGCTCTACACAGNTTGTGTCTTGCTGAACGGTAGTGCAACTCTGTATCAGTCCCTTGGCTTCCTGTTCCGCCCACTATGGTATATCAGAAGGCATGGTAGCTCTACACAGTCCTTTATGAAGACAAAGGAAAATTGTTACAACTGTATTTATAGGGTAATCACAGGGTGGTCCACAAGGTCGTGCCAGAATCTCCGTGAGAGGACGAAAAGCGTCGAGTCAAAGGTGCTTGACTCGATTGGCTGGCATTCTGACCAATCAGGGCATGCAGTCGTTTGGTCCGTGTCCTGCACGTGACACATCTGTCCAGATGATGTGATGTTCGGTTATTAGGGTCGGCTGGCCTCCGAACAAAATGATCCGCAACTCAGATGTAAGCTGTGCCTGTGATTGCCCGAATGAGTGCTAGAAATGTAGGGACCTTGAACGTTTGTGGTAGGTAAGCCGTAGGCTCCCTCCGCGCCCCAATTTTATCTTTCCATTATAAGGGCTTACTCGAATAAAATGACATGTGGTACGGCAGTCAGACACCCATGTTCTCGTCTCTCATTGCTGTTAGTGATAACCCTGATGATGTGGCTGCATGCACGCCGATACCTAGGCGCCTGACTGGAATTGAAACTCTGGATTTGCGAATTGGGAATTTGTTGAACTATTGGTAGCTCGGGTGAGTTTATTGGTTGTTGATCAGGTGGCTGTTGATCTGTTCGCCGAGCTTGGCAATTGGCTTGCAAACGTTTCGTTGGGTGCACCCAACTGCGCACTGATGAGGCCTCCTCGTATGGTGACGAAACGTTTGCAAGCCAATTGTCAAGCTCGGCGAACAGATCAACAAGATTTGCGAATTTGCAGAGTCCCTGACTCCAATTCACTTGTTTTGTTATCATTCTATTATCAGGGGGAGAAAACAAATCGCACCAAGGCTCATATGTATGTAAAATTCTCGAGTTTACGTTTGAATAAAGGTGCGACTACTTTATTTTGCCATGTATACTTTTGTATTATTCATTACGAACAATAAAATCCATTAGATATGCTGTCTGACGGGGCAGTACCACAGCATGAAGTCTAGTTTTCGGTTAAAATGTACCTCATGAGGTTTATAGGTTTGTTGGCATTACTGAAAACGCATAAAAGAGGAAGATGCGATCACAGACTCAAAACGGGGGACAGTAGTAATTATAGATAAGTGTCAAAGACATTGGTTGACGGAAAATTCAAGGTACGAACACGTCGGGAAATGAGCTGATGCCGTTATAGAAGAGCAGCAAGAACTTGACATGTCTCTCGTATGAGTTCACTGTTTATCCCACTGTTTATCACGTCAAATCGGTCTATCACCCATTGCTTTCCCCAGACCAAGCTACTTTGTTCGTGCTATATACCTTCAAACATTACCCAATTTCTGGTACTTGTGAGTTACTTACCTAAAACTTCCCGGTTAAACTCTTTGCCCCATTCTCTTTTCAGGCATACGACTTCTGCCCGTAATTGTTCATGTATCTGGCGAGGTAGCACTACAACGATATTCCGCTCACCGTCTTTTTCGTAGCAATATTTTTTCATAAAAGGAACTACTCACAAGGTTGCTGAAAACTCTTCGACAGCCCACGACCGTTTCGCCCCTCTTGGAACTCATCAGGTGGGCGCAGTCCCCGAGTTTCCGTCAACCTTATGTTCTACTTGAACCCAAATCGCACTGTTTTTGAGAAATACACTAATTTGCAAATCAATTTGGTTTTCACGGGAGACTCAACTGAATCTCCCGTCTATGATATTCTGCAACTGAATGTGCTGCACACAGGCCGCCTCATGTGGGCTGTCGAAGAGTTTTCAGCAAACTTGTGAGTAGTTCCTTTTATGAAAAAATACTGCGATATCTCGAAGATCATGCCAACTAAAACGTGAGGCGGTCTGTGTGCAGCACATCCAGTTGCAGGACCTCATAAACGAGAGATTCGTTTGAGTCCCCCGTGAAAACCAAATTGATTTGCAATTGTAAACAGTTTGTTCATTCACCGGAGCACTGATCCACTTTCATGAATATTCCCTCTGAATGTTTGTACGTTCTTCACTATCACAACCGACGATGCCACGATAAAAAGCCATACTCATAGAGTTGTTGAAAAATTTTGACAGCCCACAATCGGTTTCGTTCCTCTTCTCGGGTCTGAAAAGATAGCCCGGTGCCTCCATCGTCCCTATGCTCTAATTGAGACCAAATTATGCACACTACTTTGATTTTGATGGATGAGCCAAATGAATCCCAACTGAACCTATCTTTTGGGATTGTTAGTCAGCCTCCACTTATCAAATCCTTCCTCAGTTGACTGTTTGTCACTTCTTCAGTCCGAAACTTGCGCTCCAGAAGTTGTGGCCTTCATAGTCTGCCTACTCCAGCTCATCGGTGTGGTCCATCTAAGCCCCGATCCGCGCACGTGGATGTCCCAGTTCCATCAAACTCATTCTGTCCAGAGTTTGGGGGACTACTGCGAACATCACCAATATGTTTTCAAGCGAAACTGCTCCAGTGTTAACCCCTTCTGTTTTCTATGGTAGTTCATTTTACCGAAACTGTTTTGGTAGAGCTTAGTTGGCGCCAGAACTTTGCATCGCAATCCACACGAGAATACCTTTGTTGACCTGCATTCTCCCTTGGTCAATCGTATCGACACGAATTAGTTGCGCTTTTCTCAGATCCACAACTTCCAGAGAGGATTTCGTCATCTTTTGTGACATCTAGCACATTCGTGAGAATTCCCGACTGGAGCTTCTCGAGTGCTTTCCCGTCCAACCCATTCAAAACCCATCATCTCTCTTGCTCTATCGTCTCTACCACTGACCTTTCGTTTCGCTCATCAGTCGCCTCCTTTCCATCCCACAGACCACAGCTCGTCTCTTGGTTTACACATCCCAAACAGTTTTTTTCCACTTTCATTCTCAGGCAAACTAGTTAAGGTGTCCAAAAAATGAATCTGTTTTCCGCTTTTGAAGATGCTCCCTGAAATATCTGTCCTGAGACTATCAGGTTCGGTTCACCAATACTGCTACTTGCATTCTATCCCCTTGCATACTCACTCGGTTCATCCGAAGGCTGTATACGCCATCGCCATGTTTCTTGTGGTCAAACTTCTTCGATTCTTCGCTCCAAGGTTATGCAATCAATGAAACAGCTTTTTTTGCTTGTAATCACTCTTTCGAGGCTGAACACGCCGATATTACACACAACGCTTTCCTTATGACATTGTCACAAACCACGCTGACCTGAAGCAAACGTTCTTCGACTCCCAACTTCATGAGGACCTCCCTGAAGTTTATCTTTAAAACCTTGTTGAATCACTGAAAGTTGTATCTTCTGACATTCCTTATGTGAGTTCGAAAAATATTGATGTAGTCATATTGTCTTTGAGGAAAAAAATTAGACCAGCTAATCATATCATCGTACTCATGAAGGATGGTAACTACAACTTAACTCAGTATGTTCGAGCGATAGAAACTGAGTTCTCCATGAGTACACCGGCTGATCAAACCAACGTCATCACCATGGTAGGGAATTTGTCCTACTCTATGCTGAAGCGAAAAGGACCTTACAGCTGATTCATCCTTATTGAGAATCAGTAACGGAACTCCAGGGAGTTTCGAGCCTGAAGCTTTGCAGTAATTAGTCTGAAAACAACTGTTCGGTAGCTAGCAAGTGATCAGCAATGTGATTGGTTTGAACTTGGATATTGCACTCAGATATTGTACTATTCATTCTTCAGTCACATCACGTGGTCACGTGACTGACCGCCCGCTTGAGTGACGACCTATGGGACGAAAGTTTCACTCACGGGGCGAAATTTTTTCTTCCTTGCATAAAATTATAGACAGATTGTTGCTAGTGAGAGAAAGTACGGGGTTTTTTAATGAAGCGTTTGTCTTGCAATTAAATCTAATCTAAGTTGGAAAGATTTTCATGGGATGCAGATGCCAAGACCGCTTTCGAACGCCAAGCATCGCTTGGTTTGCGTTTGCCATTGTTGCCCATCAGAGTCAAGCCAAGAGGTGAACAGACTCTTCAACTACCAAGACGTTCCCTTAATCATCTTCAGGGCAGTGCGGTATCCGGGACAAAATCAACATGGTTATCATCGTTACTTATCTCACTGTGGCTAAATGATGAACATATTCACGTGCACTGCACAACATTCAGTTGTTATCTAAATTCCACAAAATACGAATTCGTACGCCGTTTTAGTGTCGGTTCCCTGTGCAATCGCCATTCAACGATGAGAGACGCTGCATCCTGTCAACGTGCCGGTTAATTTATCACGCTGCCAATCAGCCACTCGTGAACATCTAAACTTGTTTGGCAGCTGCAGATTCAAATCTCGCTAGAGATTCTTGAAAAGCGCACCTTCGATGATCTCCAACAGAGTTGACTTTTTAGCATAGACTGACTTCATTTCTGGGATGGATTCTCGATGAGAATTTTCAAAACCTACCATCAAACATGGACTTGTTATCACTGATCGTTGTGAAACCGTCATATTTTAAGTCGCAGATGTTTAGCAATATGCTTCTGCGTGTTTGTCCATCGATTGAAGTCCCCTGGGTCAATAGCAGAATGAGGGGCTAGCATGGTTCAAGAAAGAACACTGTTTAAAAGCACTCATACGAATCAATTTCGTTGTTCGCTTTTGTGTTTGTCTGCTAGCGCCTACGCGTTCAAACCATGAAGCTAGCGAATCAGGGATTAGGAGGATGAGTGAAGCGTGATCACAATCGTAACCGACGATTGGTTCATCCGAGATCCAGTCGAGAATAGGCTTCTGTATTCTATTGATTTTATTGATTGGCGTGATTAATGAAGGTATAACCAAACCGCTTAGGCCACGCTAACCTATTGGTTCAAATCAGTTAAAAGCATTTTAAACTCCACTCAGGCCTGTCAGTTCAGATAGCCAGGGCTTTCGCAGAGTTGGATATTTGGCTTCTGGGCTAATCGCAGGTGTCTACGAAGTCAACCAGTGCAGAACCACTGTAGGTCTGTACAGCTCAGCTTCTCAGCTTGAAGACGCGTTGGCTTACTGTGTGCAGGTTCACCGCACTTTGGATTCCGTTCACAGAAAAATCTATTCCGGATATCACTCAGCTTTGCTGGCCGTTTTTCTAAGAAAACAGCTATTAATTTCCACAGCGACGTTATTCAGTTAGGAAAACGAATTTTGGAAGAACAATAAAAGTTAATTCATTATCTTCATAAACCCAAGTCAAAAAATGACAAACCTTGTCACGTTACGGATCTAAATCGCGTGATGCTATCGTTAAAGTTGTGTGCACTCAACATAGCATGCCAACTAGTCTCGTTGATCGTGTTTTTTGGTCACATGACTTGATCAATCAGGTGCACCAGGCTAGTGTGGTGCATACATTCACTTACCAATACAATCTAATGCAGAATTGATGAACAAGCGATTTAGAACGTTTACAGTCTACTGTGACAAAAAGTGTGAAATAGCAATCTGTTGAACTGATCTTATCCCTCTCTGAACAGACAAACCTACCGACAAAAGACACGTGAGAAGTGACAGTTTAGACTCTTCGCGATTCAAGCGATAGTGCAGCATAGTTCCTCTATCGTCCATCACTGGCAGCGAGGTCTTCCTTCGTGTCAGGCCTTCAAATGCTGCCTGAATGGAAAGAGAGGTGGAGATAACATTCATGGTCAGCTTGTATGCAATGAGTTGAAAATACTTAGATAGTGGGTTGCGAATCAGGTGCACTGTAAATGTGCTCATTCTGATTGTTCAGTGACTGGCTTTTTGGGTCTTGGAAACGTGAATCATGAGGGCTTTACTATTTGGTCTGTTTGTTGAATTGCTCCGACTACAACTGTTTCAGGCTGTCTCAATATGACTGCGGATAATTAGCTGTCCTCTGAGCGAAAAGCGTTTCCTAATGGCAGTTCACTCGAAGGTGCATGTCACGTGCCACATCGCCGTATCTGGAATTGCAAACCAAGTGATTGTCGTTCACACTGCAATCAGGGTAAATCTTTTAGCTCTTTTGAAACTTGGGAGCGCTCAATGTTATGGGAACCGCCTGACTTCCGCGGCGACTGTGGGTCAAAAAACCGGACAGGATACTTATGAGTGATTCTCCGTAAACAAAAACTCAAAAAGTTACAAACTGTAGCTCCCAATCCTATGGATGAGGCCCCAAGTGTACCGATTCTAAAAAAACAGAGTCAAAGGATCGATTTTGTGGCTCAGTATTTTAACTTTCACTAAATTTCAAACACCATAGGATCAAACTGAAATGAAAGTCACGTGATTTTGATGAACATTTCGTTTTTGTGAGCAGCGAATTGGAGGATGACCGGCGTGGTTTCAGCAATACACGTGGCCAGTCTGACAAACAGCTGATATGACGATCAGTTGTAAACAGCGAGCAACGAATGCTCAATCAACCATCTTTTTTGAACACTGTCATGAAAATTTCGGGTGAATTGCGCAAAGAGGACTTTGCGCATCAATATATTAGTACCATTAATACGTATAATATGGCAGCCACCTACTCAGCCGTTCAGATAATGATTACCGAAAAACAATATGGTGGATCAAAACTCCGTCAGTCTAATCAACCAGCAATCACATGGGTCCATTCGTACGCAGCTGTGTGGTTATATACGCACATTGGAAACGTTAGTAAAAGAGTGCAACGCTGGTTGGCTCTGATATAGCTTTGAAAGAGTTGAAAATCAGTGCTCCGGTTATTAGGCGTTCAGTAGAGACAGGCGCCGAGTTCAATACCACTCCTCCTCTTTCTGGGTTAAAGTTCGAAATGGCCGTCCAATCAGAACTAGATTCCTTGAGGTGGTCATGAGTAATCGATTTCTTCTGAGACCATCTGATCAAACTACCGCTACATTTCGTTCCATCTCGCAAGCACAAACGAGACTGAAGAGAGTGAATTCTGTTCCCCATCATTGTTGTTCTCACCGTCTTATTGAAATCTTGATACTCCTGGACAACGATAATGACTGACAAAAGTCTGGAAGGTATGTAATGTCTATCAAGTAGGGTTTTCATTGGACAGGTGAAGTCTCTGACCTAACTTTCCATCCAACAACTCGCACCGTTTATCGGGTGTTTACCGATTCAACTTGGTCGTTCCAACCTCTGCGCAACTACGGGTGGCGCTGTCTACGCCTGATTCAGACTATGAATATTCAAAAAGTCTTTATGGTACTAGGATTGTTCGCTGGAGAAAACAACATAGCTCTATGGTTGCCGGGGACCTACAGTACATCATTTATCCAAGCCCAACACCAACCAAGAATCGGTATTCTACTCACGCCTGGCAAAAGCTGTCCAGGCGTCGTACTGTCGACAGTGGGAGTCGTTGGGTATTTCGTAAAAGACGTACCTTGAACTTATTGTCCTAGGATGTCGTGGGTGGGTAGTGCTTTCATAAAAAAAACAAAATATGATAATCTAATCATTAAATGCGACTGAGAAACCTCAAAGACACATCCGGATGGGCATGCCGGACGAGACAATACTGATGAATGACTCGCAAATTTAGAGTAGAGCAGGTATCTCGCTGTTTTCTCTACGGTGTATTCGTCATAAGCTCATCCACCGCAGGCCAGATCACCGTAGTTTACTAATTTTCTGCCGCTCATTTGAGGTGATGTGTGACAACAACCCAAATGTTTTGGCGCTGGGTGTGTAAGACAGCGGAACAACCAATCCAAGCCCAACACCGCACCGATCAACATTCGGAGGTACTGCTATCCGGAACAACTAGGTAGGAGCTTATCGAAACTGGCCACGGACGGCTACCAGTGTAACGGCGGATACTACTGATGAGCTGTGCGAGTAGTATGTTGTTTTCGCGTAATTCCGTTCCGCGTTTACTGGAAGATAGGCCTTATTACAGAACCTGTGGAACTGCTTTGCAGCGTTAGTCTACAATTGCGTGATGGTCAATGAATATCCAGTAAAGTTCAAGAAGACGCCTGAGGATGTCCAGTTTATAAAAATAAGGTGCATATGGGTTGTTTACTTTCCTGTCCAATAGTTTGTAACCCTTTAATTAGTGTTTGCCAATTAATGGTTTCCAGGAGAGGGTTTTTCTTCCTTACACCAGTTGGGTGGCAGCGAGCTGAAGGGTAGACAGCAGATAGCAGCTGAATAACACGGGACTCAACAGACAATCAGGGGATCTCGCTGTGCCAGCACACGCCACGCACATACTGAAGCAATTCACACCACTTTTCCTAAGCTAAGCTCCTTGGACACTATACACGCTTGCATTCAACAGTAATTGTGCTTTCTCTCTCTCTCTCTCTGTCATCACAACCCCATCTTTCTGAGCGTCCTTGACATTCCTGATACGTTCATGTCCCGAGTTATCAGGCGGTATGGTTGCACAATTTAGACCTACTCACATTGAAACAGTAGTTGATCACCTCTTGCCTAACGATCAAAATCTACTTATGTTACGTCTTGTTCCACAAAACCTTTCTGAAGGTGGGTTTGTGGGGC